TTTAAAAAAGGGGAAAAAAGTTACCCTCGACCCTCAACAAGAAACCCTTGACCCTCCTACCCTCCACAAACAGATAGACTCCCGCGGTAATTACTCCAGGGTGCTCGCCCAAGTGATTCATTAACTTTTAGCTGCAAATACGTTTTTCTAAATAACTCGGACGCTTCTGCAGATTAAGTAGCTATTCTAAAGATCTATTTCCTTCGGCAGAGGGAAAATTATACATACCACATTAATGATTCATGTATGAAATAATGTAACATTTCCTGTAATTTAAGTTGAATGGTAGCTCCTGTTGAGTGGACAAGTCGAAACGACGAAACGACATAATGAAACGACGAAACGACCTAACGAAACGACGAAACGACATAACGAAACGACGAAACGCCATGACGAAACGATAAAACGAAGAACCGATGTGGTCGATGACGAGTCGGACTCGTAAAACGACTAGTCGAAGAGGCCAGCCGACGAATCGAACTGGCAATACGACGAAACGAACTGAAAGTTCGACGAGTCGAACTCGGAAAACAACGACTCGACATAACGAAACGACGAATCTAACATTTGTCCAGGATCTACCTTCATAACTCTTGGAACCATCCACTGCACACTGCAATGAAATTTGTGATATTTTTTTTGTTTACTTCCCTCTCCTCGTTTTATTAGATGGTTATTTTCCCTGTCTGACAGATCTTTTATTTTTGTGTTAAATTGCCAGTGTATTTGCTGTTGTTCAAGGAGATGCCATTTTCATCCATCTAGTTAAATGCAAAAAGCATATTCATAAATCAATGTTCAATGTCAATATCTTCGGCGTCAGAGCCTGAATCATATATGAAGACTTTGCGGTCGGTTTATATAAAGATGGAAAAGACAGCAGTGGCGGCTCTGATGTTCCAGTTGGGCATGTACCAATTGAACTATCCCATCTCGTTTGCACTTTCCTGAATGCAGAAGATAGCAATGAAGACGATGCCCAGGTTATCGGAAAGCGGACTTTAAAAAACGGACTTGTTGTTTCAGCGATTTACTCATTGCGAACAAGGAAAAAGAACACTATGTCTTGAATACAAGGAGCGCTGCAAGCAATAAAGGAAAAAGTGAAGTATATGAACGTTGTCAGAAAAATCTGTAAAAAAATTGGTGCTTTTGTAATCATTCAGTGGTCACAGACCAATTAAATAAAAGCTTGTTTGTTACCCAAGATGCCAATTTTTAACTCGAGAGGGAGGGTGTAAAAGAAAGAAACAATGGCAAGGGGAGGGGGAGGGGGCGATTATTCGAGGGAGGCGATTAATTCAAGGGACGGCTATTATTCGAGAAAATGCGGTACTAAATTTCCTTGTTTTTTTTTCACGCCTCATTCTTTCTTCACCGCATTTTTGTGACCGGCTGGGAAAAACCTTATTATCATTTCCTGACTCACAACAATAAGCAATCGCCACTACTTAACTTATCCACTAGATAGTATTTTAAGTTTCTAGATGGAAGGGTTTCGTCCCCATTTGAGTGAAATTTTTTTGTATTGTGATAGAAGCCCCGTACAATGGTCGTTTCTGGTTCAATGGTTGTTTACATCTTCGATTCCGAGAAAGGATAGTAGCTCTTTACCATTAATATTCATGCAGGCCCTATTACACTGGAAATCCAAAACGATAAGGTCACTCCATGTCCTCATTGGCTGACACGTTTTACCTATGTTTTGAGAATTTAGTTCTTCATATGTTCATGGTTGTGGTCATTCAGGAAAGCGCTGACAGAGCATGTTTACAGGAATGGAATGATTTAAATGTGTTTTCTTCCCACCGTCACTGACGCCTAACTTGATTGGACACGTTGTTCACCAAACCCTCATGACAACAGCACAATTTTACCTTTCCACCCAACATGTAGGATTGTTGCCAAGATTCTACATGCGATTCTTTCTTTCTACATATTTCGTATGGCTTCGCCTTCGTCTGCAACATCACCGTCCGTCCAGGTGCCGCAAGAATTGACGAAACTTCGGCCAGTTGAATTCAGTGACCTTGAGAGTGGTTTCTCAGAAACCCGTCTTGACGGCAAGTACGACGACTGCCTTTCGTCTCATCTCAAAGCCTTAGCGCAGAAAGACAAAAAGCTTTGCGAACTAATTCCCCGTCTCGAGGCAGAAAAGATGATTCAAGATGCGGCAAACAGGATCGAAGCTACAAAGAGAGCTTTTCTCAAAGAAGAAGCTACCAGCAGAAAGATATCCCCGGAAGGTAGAAAAGATGAAGGCTCTTTCAAAGAGGAGGAAAACAAAACTCAGGTTTTAGTTCCCATCGAAATGCTTGAAATTCAAGAAGAAATCTCTCTAGTAACGCAACTTGAAGTCCAATCGCTTACATGTAAGCTCTGGCTTCGTAGAATTCAGTTAATTTGCCAGCAAGATAAGCTGAGATACAAAGATCTCCGAGATTTCGAGCGCGCCATCCTCAGCGCCCATGAAAGTATCAAGGAGTATCGAGGCTTTATTCACAAACGAAGCCCCTTCGACAGGGAAAAGCGAGCAACTGACATCATGATGAATTACCAAGATCGCCTGAAAAGTTCCCTCGTCAAAGCCTTAGAGGAAAAAGAAAAATCTCAGTTTGAAATGTTGGAGGATGACGTGCTAAGATTTCTTTCTAACTGGAGTCGTATAAGCGCTTTGCTCGGCCTTCAATTAGACTTCCTTGACCGCCTGGAAGATATACCGCCAGAAGACCGCGACCATCTTACACTCTGCGACTGGATCGTGACTTTCCTTCGAAATAACTATGAATCTGTTGGCTTAACTGACAAAAGCTGCTCTAGCAAGGAATTGCTTGCCTCTATTGGTTTTGATCCTCTGAGTTTAGGTGCTGAAACCATTGTGGCGCGCGCGCGAAATACGCAGCAACATATCGATGTGTGCGAATTGGCAGAGATTTATATTGAAGACGAGTTCAAATATAATATTTTGCTGTCTCCAGTGATTCGAAGGTTCCCCTTACAAAGCAATTTAATAAATTCATGGTTTCAACTCCCACGGAATATCGGCGTGAAAGGAAAGGTTGCCAATCTGCTTTGCGAAGTCAACATTCTAAACCTCGTGACAGAGGAATCCCTCGCTTCTGGCACTATCCGCTCTAAACTCAGCGATTTGATGTCATTCAAAGACGGAAAGAGCGTTGTTCTATTTCATGGCACTGATCATCAAAGCGCTTGCGACATTTTATTTCGTGGAATAGATTTGTGTCAAGGACGACAGAAGCGAGACTTTAGCTGTGGATCAGGATTCTATTTGACTGACAATAACAATGAAGCTTTGAACTGGGCAAAGAACACAACAGCGAAACCAGCTTTGTTAGTTTTCAGGGTGAATCAAAAAGAATACCTAGATCACGCAGAAAAATTAAACCTGTTTGAAAATGAACGAAGATGGCAGGAGATTGTGTCTTCGTTTCGATCGGGAAAGAAAACCGCCAAAACACGTAAGAGCTTAAGTGCGTATGACTTGATTGAAGGGCCAGTGGGAAGAATGAGAAGGAACGAGATGTCTGACGGGATTGTGTTCGAGCCAAAGCCTTTCTCTTATCAAATGTGCTTGAATTCTGATGACTTCGCTGACACTTTTCGAAACACTCTCCATTCAATCATTTTTATGGAAATCTGTTGAGGCAAACTACGCACTTTTCAAAAATAACTGCCGATGTGTCGTTCCGTGGTCATGAATTGAGACAAAGGCGTCGTTATGCAATAGAGCTCCGCGCGTTCCGTGGCGCGCACACGCGAGTATCAGTGCCAACAACGAGAGTCAGTTAATTTAAACTGCTCTTTCACGAGAATTATCGCAGTTGTAGTTACAAGCCCTCAGGAACTTTTACTCCAATGCCGGTCATCCACAGTCATAGGAACAAAACCGACAATTCTTCCTTTTCTGTCAAATGACTGGATTACACATGTAGCGAAAAAACCCTAAATTTCTTGACTTTGTCGTTTCAATTTCCCGATCAAAAATAAATTATGAAGTATGAGTCATGTGAACAAGCTCGAAAAAGTCATGCTGGAACTGAGATAAAATATGTAAATTGAAGCCGTCTACATTTTGTAGATACCGATTGACCTAGTCTTCCCTCCCGAAAATTTCAAGAAAAAAAAATTTAAGTAACCAAAATATTCCAAGATCTGCGAAGATTGCTTTGCAAAGAGTTTCATTTTAAGACTGCGATATGTCACGATTTTAGTGAAGAATTCACGGGATAACTTATTATTGTCGAAAAAGCTGAAAACATTTTACTAGAAAATCTTTATTATTATGATATCATAAAGATAACTGTTGCATGTCTGAGGATTATAAAGTGACCTGGATAAAGAGGTCCTATAAGGCTGTATAATTTGTAATATATCGATACTGTAAGCTAAGTTGAATATCTCCGTCGGTTTTACTATTCCAGTATGTTTATGAAAACTGTAAATCCAGCCCTGTGTCGTCCTGATGCGTCAAGAGGCTCCAGCAATTCGTATTTGCATCGAAAATACAAACTAATCAGTTTAAATTTACCAGAGAGAACTATTTCCTCTCTTTCTCCTGTGAATCGAGTGTCTGTTACTTGGGAGCAAAGGGCGACTGAATATACCTTACTTGCCTGGGTGAAATGATAAAAGTTTCAAGCCTCCAAAAGAAATTCCATTATGAAATTAGTTTTTCACTGAACAGAAATCTCTATGAAATAGGCAAATATAACCAAATTTCATCAAAAGAACTTGGTCATACAAATAGTAACTTGAAAACTTTCATCAGACATTACTCAAAGTTAACCCATGTTTTTCTAAAACTCTGATTACTTTAATTGTTATAGTCAACCTCGACCGGATTCCACAAAGGTTTTGCCGGATCCGCTATAATTTTAATATATCAGATAAATCTGTAATCATTCCTTGTATATGGCGAAATGCTTGAAAAGTCTGTGAGATAATAAGTTACCCATCGAATCCTTGGTGATATATATCTGCTGTAATTAAGCCATAGCAACCCTAATTCAAGAATTTTCAAAATGGAAATTGTTCATGCAGGGATGGACACAGTGCTAGCCCAAATTTATCTAAAAGAAGTGCATAAGAATTTTCTCCCAGACTGATTGCACTTAACTAGCCCAAGTTACCAACAACCAACAGTTCTTGTCAGTATCACAGTTTAACCGAGCACATAATGCCTGACTTCAGCTTCTTGCATCAAAATTTTAATTTTCAGATGTTGCAACTTTGTTTTGATATCTAGTTCGTCTTCTTATGGAAATATACTCCAATGCATTCTACTCAAATACTGAGAGCTCTTTTCCCTAAAAAGCCATCATTATCTACAATAGTAGTGATAATAATAAGGAACTTTAATTAACGCGAGGGTGCATCTAACATCGTGAAGTGATTTAATAATGGCCCTCAAGAAAATTGCACTCAAAATAAAAAAAATTGAGGCATGAGACGCGAAAAGGCACGGGGAAATAAAACAGGTAAATACTTATATCATATGGACTTGAATACATGTGAGCAGAACACAGGAAGGAATATCTCATGCTGTTGTTGATCGAACTCTGCTCTCCTCTCAAACGATTTTAAGCCTTACAAATATCGAAAAACAAAATTGAGTGTAGAGTTTGTCTAAAAATGTTCGCACAGGAATCAGAAATCAAACAAATTTGATGAGATAAAGGTCTCGGGGAGAACATCAACTTCCCTGACGACTCATTTGTTATCGCTGTACTCATTGGACCCTCGATCAAGTCATAAGCGGCTAAACTCTTTCGAGTTCTCGCTGTTTTTTTACCCGAACGAAACGAAGACACAATTTCGCACCATCTTTGTTCATCATCGAACAAATTCAAATCTTCTGAATCGGTGAAGAGCTCTTGTCGATTCGCTTGAAAAACTAACAAAGCTGGTTTCGCCGTTGTGTTCTGAGCCCAGTTCAAAGCTTCTTCGCTATTGTCAGTCAAATAAAATCCTGATCCACAGCTAAAGTCTCGCTTCTGTCGTCCTTGACACAAATCTATTCCACGAAATAAAATGTCGCAAGCGCTTTGATGATCTGTGCCGTGGAAGAGGACAAAATTTTGATCGTCTTTTGACAATAAATTGCCGAGTTCCGATCGCAAAATACGGTAAGCGTGGGATTCTACTGTCACGAGGTTTATGAGGTTGACGTGGCACACCGAGCTTCCTTCGTTTTCAACGTCAGAGGTAGATCTTGAAAGTCGAAACCACGTATTTGTTGAATTGCTTCGAAAAGGAAATATACAAGTCACTGATGATAGAGAAACGTTATACTTAAACTGGTCTCTTATAAAAATTTCTGCCACTTCGCCCAAATCGATATGATGTTGCATATTTCGTGCGCACGCCAACATAGTTTCAGCGGCTGAACTCAGAGGATCAAACCCGATGGACGCAAGCAATTCCTCGCTGGGAGAACTTTTGTCGGTTGAGCTGACGGATTCAAAGCTATTTTGTACAAAAGCCACAATCCAATCGCAGAGAGTTAGATGATCGTGGTCTTCAGGTGATATTTTCTCTAGTCTCTGGAGAACGAAGTTTTGCCGGAGTCCGAGAAAGGAGCAAATGTAGGATACATCTCGAAATGGCCCATTGAAGTCGCTTCTTTCCAACATTTCGAAATTACAGTCGGATTTTCATCTGTTCCCAAAAATAAAGTTGCTATTATGAAACCATTACAGTATTAACATTGTCTTAAACCTACTTTGACTATGTCTTGTTTACTGACAAAGGCCATTCTTAAGAGCCCAGGCGAATGTTCCTGGCCAGAAAAGCAAAACTTTGGAGTTATTTAAAAATGTACTCATCCAAAGAAAAAGCGAAGGAAACAAAGCTTTAGAAGTCGATAGAAAGTGATAAACGTTCAAAATATGAACCAAATAACGCATTACTTATTTACCTCTTTCAAGACAAGTCTGACATTTGCCATGGAAACAGGCCAACGTGGGCAAGATTAACCAATGAGAATCTGCAAATTTTGATATATTGGTCTTATACTGTGAACAGGCTAAAACTGTTCAACGCAAGGAGAATATAGACTTCCGTGACTGAGACCTAAAAATGGGAATTTTTGGCGTAATAAGTAGGGTTACGGCCCTGAACGTTTGAAGTTGCAACCAATTAATTGCGTTACACGTTTACTTTCAATCATAGAGAGGCTGTGGATGTTTGAAGCAAGATTGTGTCAAAAGGCTAAAGCTACTCCGCTTATTTGAAGAGAATTACTAGCTTGAGTAGACATAAGCAGCCCCAAAAGATCAAAAGTTCAAGTCTCCCTAGCATTGGCGTCTGCAATTTCGCAGAACTTGGTAGATTTCTAGGAATTCGTAGAGGTCAAGACCACAAAATATCATGTCGCACTAATCAACATTCACAACGTTTGAGAGACGATGGCAGCAGAGAGTAAGACACTCGTATCTTCGAGTTTTAAAATGACTGATGCGATCTTTTGGAGAAATGAGATGAAAGTAGAAATTGCTGAAGATTATGAAGAAACGAAAAATCGTCTGTTCGCGATTCTAGGATGGTTGGGCCAGGTGAGCCTCGGAAACTCGTTTATCGCATCTAGCGATCTCGTCTCGTACATCAAGTTCTCCATCTCAAAATGTGTGTTAAACTATAGTGGAAGCATTTTCATCAACTACAACCGCTCTCCATACGAAGAAAACACTCTTAATGAATGGTTCGATCTCACTCCTGAAGAAGATTGGCCAGAGCGAGGCGAGGCAGTAAAAGCAATAAATGTTGATAAAAATGGACTCGCGCAAAAGTGTTACAGAACACAAAATCAAGACGAAGACTCTTTTCCGGATTCGCTAGAAGATGACGAATTCGAAGTTTTCTTTCACGGAACATCTCACGAAAGCGCTCAAGATATAATTGAGGGTGCAATTGACTTGAGAAGAGGTGCACAAAGGCAGGACTTCAGCGATGGAGATGGTTTCTATTTGAGCAAACAATTTGATGAAGCCTTGAGGAGGGCCCGACATCGAAGAAACAGTTCTTCAGTGCTCGTGTTTCGAATAAAGAAGACTGAATTAAGAGGCGATAATAACGATAAAGGCTATAATCTTCAACATCCGGATATGAAGAAAGAATGGCAAGATGTGGTTAGGAAATTCAGAAATGGAATGGTCGATTCAAAGTCCCGCAAAGAAATGAATCGCCAGTACCAATTCATCGAGGGACCGATGGCTTCCATCTCAGGAAAGAATTCAGCAAGTGTCTCGTATCCCCGCCAGAAAGATGATTCATATCAGCTTTGTGTTCGAACGGAAAGTTGCGCCAAACTCTTTGATCGTGGCCTTCATTCCGTAGTCTTCTCAGTCAAATAGGTATACATTTATCGAGTACTTACTCTTAAAGAACCAAATAATTATGATAATTGAATGTCGAAACTTGAAACAGCCAGGTTGTTACTAAATTTCACTTGTGGACTTTTTTATTCTGTGTTCATGTGCCAATTGAACTAAAGTTTGTAATATCAATGGTGTCCACTAATACTTTATTCCTAGAAACTGACATTAGGTTTACCAATATCCTCGAAAGGATCATTTGCAGATGACTGCGTGGAACGAAAATTGCGAGTGGAGTCATCAGACGCCAACATTTACCGCTCGGTTTGATCTGCCTTTAGGTCTAAGGCATGTATTTCATCAAGATCACCATGTTGTAACATTTTGGTTTCTATTGAAGGTCCCAAAATGCATCGAGAGGCTTTAGGCTAAATTAAACAAGGAGAACGAACTAAGTCTTAAAGAGAAACATTGCCATCATAACAAGCTTTTATGCCATATTGTTAAAAACTGCGAGAAGTGGCAGTTCGCTTCATAATATACGAGTATTACTCTAAACATAAGGATTTGCCAACACGCAGTTAGTTTCATTGGAAAAGCAGACAGTTTGTTATCAGATGTTCAGTGTACGAGGGAAGAAACATTAGACCTTAAGTTTTAACTTAATTTGTTTATTAGGGATCATTTCGCGACAGGCACATGAAAATTTCAGTGCTTTATGGCACACCAACGGCATGTGTAGCAATGCATCGTAATACCAATCCAAGAAAGATCATTGTTATGGAAAACTAAGATATTTTACTGAAATTTTTATACAGGCATTATAACTAAAATCATCTGTAATGGATTTGCTCTTCAATATGGAGAACTTGCTAGGAAACAAAAAACTAGTATTGAAAGTCTGTACACAATTTACACGATCTTTTGTGACCTCAAATGGAAGTCATTTTGAGCCAGCTGAATTACAAACATGTACAGCTTCCTATTACTTGTGGCTAGCAGAACAACTGTATTTCAAGAATTTATTTTATCATCTTGATAACTACTGGTAACATTTCTAATGAGTCACTATGCAGGAACAAAGTGGACAGAACAAGGGACGATTAAGCTCATTTCTTGACAAATATGATGCAATTTTTTACACCTCGATTCCATCAAGGCCCAGTGAAATTCTTTCTGGTCACCGAAAAGTAAAATTCACCCTTGAAATGCGAGACGATGTAGATCTTTCCAAAGTGAAAGTAAAATGCCGATATCGACCTTTGAACGGGACCAGCAGCCCCTTATGCAACTAGTTCTGCATTTCGTAAGTTGAATCTTTATCTACATACGCTATATCTGTCGAGAGTTCAATTTGCTATGAAAATCTGGAAAGGTTCTGTAGTTGCTTCTACAGGCATACCTAATACTTCTGTCCTACTACCTTGTCAACACAACACAAAAATGACACGGATGCGTCTGGTGCGTTAGTTTCTTTGTTCACTTAGGGTTAAGTCTGTTTTCGCTGTTTCGCCTTGCTTTAACAGATGTCTAGAAAAATAATCGAATCAAGCGTTTTTCTGAAACTCTCCGCAAAGTCATCAGAAATCAAACACATTTGATAAGAAGAAGGTTTTGGCTCGAACGTAATCTTATCCATTAAATCATTCCTTCTGATGGTGCCGACTGGCCCTTCAATCAAGTCATACGCACGTAAGCTCTTTCTTGTCTTGGCGGTTTTCTTCCCCGATCGAAAGGAGGACACAATCTCGTACCATTTTTGATGGTTTTCAAACAGGTTCAGTTTCTTTACATTATCTGAGTACTCTTGTCGATTCACTTGAAAAACTAACAAAGCTGGTTTCGCCGTTGTGTTCTGAGCCCAGTTCAAAGCTTCTTCGCTATTGTCGGTCAAATAAAATCCTGATCCACAGCTAAAGTCTCGCCTCTGTCGTCCTTGACACAAATCTATTCCTCGAAATAAAATGTCGCAGGCGCTTAGATGATCTGTGCCATGAAACAGAACAGTGTTTTGGTCGTCCTTAGACACTAAGCCGCTGAGACTCGAACGAATATTACTAGAAGCGAGAGATTCTTTTGTCACGAGGTTCTGGATGTTGACGTGGCAAAAGGAAACTCCATTGATTTCTTCATCGTTAGTCGGTTCTGGGAGCTGAAACCATGTATTTGTACAATTTTCCATTAAAGAGAATCTTGAAAGTTCAGGAGAGAGCAAAATATTGTACTTGAACTGGTCTCTAATAAATATTTCTGCCATTTCGCACGCATCGATGTGATGTTGCGTACTTCCTGCGCGCACCATGATGGTTTCGGCGGAGGAACTAAGAGGATCAAAACCGACAGCAGTAAGCAATTCCTTGCTGGGAGGGCTTCTGTCGGCTGGAATAGCCGACTCATAGTTGTTTCGTAAGAAAGTTATGATCCATTCACATACCTTAAGATGATCGCAATCTTCTGGTGGTATTTCTTTTAGGCGGTCGAGGAAGTCGAGTCGAAGGCCGAGCAAAGCACAGATGCGAGCCGTATTGGAACAAAACATTTCTAAATCTTCATTTAACATTTCAAAATCAGCCTTTTCTTTCTCTTCCAAGGTTTCATCCCATGCTTTTTCGTAGTTTTCTTTGTGGTGAGGCAGCATCTGTTGTAGTTCTATGTCGTAGAATTGCTTTTGAATAAACTCTCTGTAATCTTTGGTGATTTCTTGGGCGTAATATATGGCATGTTCAAAATCTTGAAGGCTGTTGCATTTCTTTGTATCCATCTTTCGTATATCTTCTATTCTTCTAAGCCAGAGTTTAAAAATAAACAGACGGACTTCGAGTTTCGTCATGATATCTTTCTTTGAGATCATGAAAGGACCGAAAACGATTGGTAGTTGTTGTTCCTCCTCAGAATCCCTCTCTCCACTGTCATCATTGTCTTGGTCGTCTTCTTCTTTATCGGCTTCAGTTCTTTGCATTTTTGCGGCTTCTTCTTTGAGGAAAGTTCCCATCGCAGCCTTGACCCTGCTTTGAGCCTCC